GTTTTTGGTTATAACTTTATGCAGTTGTCTTTAAATCAGAAAGAAGAAACACACATTTATAACTTTTCTATGTTTACCTACTTTGTAGAATACGTTTAAAGTCTTTGTCTAGTAAGTGCAACCTCTTGGCTTTCCAAGGGGCAAGTTCCTGGGTATGGTGCCACAGTGTGGCTGGGCACAAAATAAACGAGCCACCACACAGCCTTGTAGGTTCAAAACAGGAACTCCTTTATTCTCTGCACTCCCGCGAACGCCTTGCACACGGCCTTCTCCCTGGACACACCACACACTAATCGGAAATCCCTCCTCCAGAAATCCCTCCTCCAGAAATCCAGCACTTCCCCAACCAACGCGAACTCTCCAGGAATCCCTGTGAGAACTCCAAAGTAGCAGGCCGAGGCGGACAGCAGGGGTGTAATATACAATTGAATACACAGCTTAACATAACCATCATCATCTCAATGGCTTGCTGGAAACACTTCTCAACCACTCCACGTGTCATCGTGTCATCGCTGTGGCCCTCAATAATATGGATTATATATTCATGTTTCTTTGCATGTGCCATATTTCTCATATTTCTGTTGAGTACTGGAGTTTTGTTTTATTATTATTATTATTATTATTATTATTATTATTATTATTATTATTTTGTGCTGAGAATTGAAACCAGGGGCACTTAACCACTGAGTCACATCCTCAGCCTTTTTTAAAAATTTTTATTTTTTAAATTTTGAGATGAGATCTTGTTAAGTAGCTGAGGCTGACTTTGAACTTACAATCCTCCTGCCTCAGCCTCCTGAGCTGCTGGGATTACAGGTGGGCACCACCACACTTGGCAAAACTGGACATTTTAAATAATACAACGTGGCAACTCTGGAGATCAAATTTTCCTTCTTCAGAGCACTTGTTTGTTTGTTTGTTGTTGCTATTTGTTTGCTTGGTGATTTTCTGGCCTCATTTTGTAAAATTTATATTCTTTGCTGTGTTTGCCACTCAAGCCCTTGATTGATTAGCTTAGCAGTAAGCTATTTATTGGACAAAGACTTAAATGCCTCAAATCCATTAGTCTTCCAGCCTTTCCTGAAGGGCTCTGCTGTGCATTGGGATGTCCCTTCCCTGCCCAGAGAAGCTGTGAACAGATGCCTCAGCCTCTGCTTCTCCTGTGAAGATCCTCAAGGTCACCCAGAGCTGAGAGATTTAGGGCATTTGCATGTATTTCTCGGCCCCTCATGCAGCCCTGCTTGACTTCCTGGCCTTCTAGATGTCTAGGTATATATAAGAGCTTTCCAAAGTCCCCTCTCCCCTCTGTGGACAGTGGGTAGACCAGTTTTTCCTTTTTAGCTTTTTGGCCAGTTTCCTTTAGCCCCAACTGGTAAAAGTGTCTTAGGCAGCTGCAACGTTAAAGAGTTGCTGATGATTGTTCTTGACAAACGCCCTGGGGCTAGATCTGGGTGAGCTCTGAGTCAGGTCAGATAACAGCAAGCTCACAGAATGGGGCTTGCCAGCAGCTGCCAGCCAGGTCAAGAGGGACAATTCTCTGCAAGTGGAACTCTACTTCCACCTGGTCCCTAGTGGCCTACAGCCATGGTTGCAAGGTGCTGGGTTTCCAGACCTTTGCAAAACCAGGGGAGGAGGACGAGATCAGAGCATGTGAGAACACCCAAATCTGCGCTTCTCAGATCAGCCACTTAAAAACAAAATTACCCTTGGGTTGTTGCAAACCTTTAGTTAATTTCCAGAGTTTCCAAAGAGTTCATTTGGGCCATTTTTGATACTATTCTTGCTGCTTGGAGGAGCAAAATTTCAGAGGTCCTTTCTCCCATTCTGAAAGTGCTTCTATATAGAAAGATACTATTTTGGAACTTAATGATCATTCTGCAACTTGCTTTGTTCTCTCAGAATTGCCTATTTATCTCCATATTGATATCTGGAGACCTAGTTTATTCCTATTAACAGTTGAATAGTATTCTAAGATTGTGTGTGTGTGTGTGTGTGTGTGTGTGTGTGTGTGTGTGTGGTGCTGGGGATAAACCAGGGCCTTGGGCATGCTGGGCAAGCCTCTGCCACTGAGCAGCACCCCCAGCCCTGATATTATAATTTGTAAGTAAACCATAGTTTATTAGCCTGTCTTTGTACAAACCCATTGTTTTTTCCTATTTTTTTTTTTTTTTTTGGTTCTTGTCTCTAATGCTACAGTGAACTCCTGTGTGGCAGTCTCTGTGTCCATGCATGAGAGTTTCACCCAGGCATGCATCTAGGAATGCGTTCAGTGAGACATCAGACACAATGTGGACCTTTAGTTTTATTGGTGTTTTCCAATTTCTAGAGTGGCTGGGTTGGTCTCCACCAGTGATTACGATTCCTAATGTCTTTGAATTCCTGTGAACATTTGTTACAATCAGATTGTATTTTACTATTTTTGTGTGTGATGCTAGAGATTGAACCCAGGGCCTCACACAGGCTAAGGACATGCTCTACTCTCTACAACTGAGCTACAACCCTGGCCTCAGACCTTGTTCATTTTGGATAATCTAATGGGTAGGAAATGGTTTTTCCTTTTTTTTCTGAATTTGCATTTGAATGACAAATATTTTGTAATCAAGGCTAGCAGAGACATGGATATTGAAGGTGCCAAAAGCCAGCAGGAGTTAATATTCTCAATGGGAAAGGTACACTTTGGCTCTTCCTTCTGAGGCCAGACCTGCTGGGTGCCTTTGGCCCGTTCCTTCTGCAACCCCAGCTGACCCGCTGTTGGGAGCCTTCCGCGAAACCCGAGTAGGGGACAGGAGGAACTGTTCCTGGCTCCTGGTCCCCAGAAGCTGCAAAGGAACCCAGAGTGTGATAAATACATATAAATGTGTCAGGTTAAGTGTGTGTTTGGGGTCTTGAAGCAGGTGGGAAAACTCTGGGCCCTGCATGGTGTGTGACGCAGCCTGGGTGAGCCATCCCTGAATGCTAAGTGGATGAGTGGGGCCAGGGTGCCTCAGAGGGCAGAGGAAACCCAGCTGGGCTACAGGAGCCAGGCCTGCGGCTCCTGGGGAGCCAGATCAGAGGCTGGGGCAGGAGTAGCCCATTTTGTCTCTTCTTAGGAGAGCCTGAGGGCATTGCCACATTATGGCTCCAGGACCCAGGGTGTGTGCTGCTGGGTCCCCAGGGAGGCTTAGGTGCTAGAGGCAGTGTGGAGCAGTGGTTAGAGCAAGGGTGCCAAAGCTCCTCAGGGCTGGTCTAAGAGCCTGACTTGACGCCCCCCACCCCACACTCCCTTTTGTCGCTCAACCTCGCTTTCTCTTCTTTGCCATGGAGTCCATGATGGCTTTTATCTTGCAGGACTGCAAACCCCTCTGTTCTGCTTCCCACTAAACCACATTTGGAAAGATCCGCCCCGCGTAGGTTCTGGAGGCTTCAGCAGCTCTGCTCAGGGGCTGTGGTCTGATTTTCCCTTCCTGGGATCACAGGAATCTGGTTCTACCCAACACCAGCCAGGGTGGGGGCTGGGTAGAAGGAGGCAGCGCTAAGCCTCTTTTTTTTTTAAAAAAAATTTAATGTTTTAATTCTAATTTGTTACATGTGACAGCAGAATGCATGACAATTCACATTACACATGTAGAGTGCATTTTTTCATATCTCTGGTTGTACACAAAGTAGAGACACACCATTGGTGACTTCCTACATGTACTCAGGGTAATGATGTCTATCGCATTCCACCATCTTTCCTACCCCCATGCCCCCTCCCTTCCCCTCTGCCTTATCTAGATTTCGTCTGCTCCTCCCATGTTCTGCCTCCCAACCCCACTATGAATCAGCCTCCTTACATCAGAGAAAACATTCGGCCTTTGTTTTTTTTGGGATCAGCTAACTTCACTTAGCATTATCTCCTCCAACTCCATCCATTTACCTGCAAATGCCATGATTTTATTTTCTTTTATTGCTGAGTAATATTCCATTGTGTCTATATGCCACATTTTCTTTATCATTTCATCCACTGAAGGGATCTAGTTTGGTCCCACAGTTTAGCTATTGTGAATTGTGCTGCGATAAACATTGATGTGGCTGTGTCCCTGTAGTATGCTGTTTTTAAGTCCTTTGGGTATAATCCGAGGAGAGGGATAGCTGGATCAAATGGTGGTTCCATTCCCAGATTTTCAAGGAATCTCCATACTGCTTTCCATATTGGCTGTACCAATTTGCAGTCCCACCAGCAATGTATGAGGTGGCTTTTCCCCCACATCCTGGCCAACACTTATTATTGTTTGTATTATTAATAGCAGCCATTCTGACTGAAGTGAGATGAAATCTCAGAGTAGTTTTGATGTTCATTTCTCTAATAGCTAGAGATGATGAACATCTTTTCACATATTTGTTGATTGATTGTATATCACCTTCTGAGTCGTGTCTGTTCAGTTCCTTGGTCCATTTGTTGATTGGGTTAACTCTTTTTCTTGGCAAGAATGGTCGCCCATGTCACAGGGACTATTATGACACGCAAACAGAGAACAGCTGCCCTCAGTATCCATGGAGATAGGTTCCAGGGCACAACCCCCCACCGCAGACACCCCCAACCAAAGCTGCCCAAGTCCCTTGTATCCAGATGCTTCTGAACATTTCCATGCAACCTGGGCACATCTTCCCTAGGAATTTCAATCTGTGACTGGTTGAATCTGTGGATACGGAATCCGTGGACATGGTGGGCCCTCCGAAGTTGCTCAGTCTTTGAGATAGCTGGAGAGGCACACAGGAGGACCCCTGACCCCACTCACCCAAGGCCCATCAGAGTGCCTGGTATTCCTACCACTCAAGCAGCTTCTGAAGGTCCTTCCGGAAAAGTGATGTCAATTTGCTAAAACTCCACTGTCTAACTGGGAGCCCGTGTTCCGTACTCCATGTTAGGGGGGGGACAGCCACACAATGAATATCATACTTTTCAGGTGCCTTAACATAGCTGATTGGATCATCCCACAATACTATGAGGTAGGTATTATGGTTACTCCCACTTTTCAGAGGCAGAAACTGAGGCTCAGAGAGGTTAAGGAGCGTCCTGAGGGTCAAGCAGGTAGTGGGCGGCAGAGCTGGAAAGCAAATCAGTCTGGTTCCAAGTGCTTGGCGTTTTCTGGATCACCCCAGCCTCTCTCTAGAAGTTCACAGCCAGCAGGAAAGTTGGCCAAGAAAATGGCCAAGGGCTTTTCGAACTTGGTTCTCTGTTGCTCCAGGGTCCTGTGGGCTCTGGGATTTGAGAGTGGGTGGCCCTGGACGTGGGGCTCCTCCCATGTCTTGGCCGGCTCTCCTCTTCTGTCTTTAGAGGTACGAAGTATTCGATGTGCCAGGGGAGATAACAGAGCAGTAAAAACCAACAAGAATTTGTTGAGTGCCTCTCGCGCACCCAGCCTGGAGCCGGGGATGGGAGGGCTGCTCCCAGCAGCAAAAGACGAGCTTGCAAAACAACCCACGTGTGAAAACTTGAATGATGAAAAATTAAATCCCAGCTCCATATGGCAACAGAAGAGCTGTCCCCTGGCCATATCTGGTTCCCTAATTAATTGCTTCAGCAGTGACTTGGGTGGTCAAGGCAGAACCCAGACCTGCTAAGTGGGGTAGCCAGAAACACCTTTGGAGGAGCAGCAGGGAACACAAGCCCGGAGCGATGAAACCTGGGCCAGGCAAGTTTTGACAGAGAGAAGACACTCAGGAAGGGACTTGGTGGGAGGCGGTGAGGCCGGGTTAGGTGCAGCACCACACAGCAACAAGCCCAAGACAGGGCAGCACCAAAGCCAGGTGTGGCTCCAAGGTGGCCGCCAGTCTGCACCTGGGGGGACGAGAATCACCCTCTGTTAGGACCCTCCATTTCTGCCTTCCTCACCCCCTTAAATCTCCAAGGCACTTGCTGGCCTTGGCATCTGCTGGCAGAGGCTATATGATAGGATGCAAATTGCAACCTTTCCTCTCTGCAGCTTAAATAAAGTGGATAGTAACACCTCCCCCCTCCCCCGCCACCCTACAGGGGTTTGCTTGGATCCTGAGCTGAATAAAGCACACCAAGGGCCCGGTGCCATTCGATCCTGGCACATGTACATTCTCAGCAAATGTTATTGGCTATTATCTACAGCTGCATTCAACATGGGCAAACTGGGAGTAAAACCCTTCTTGGCTTTTATTCACTCATTGAGCAAGTGTTTAATGAGCATCTACTCGGTGCCAGGCACTGCACTTGGGAACTGAGGCCAGAGATTTAAGAGTTCATTTTCCTTAAGTAGTTCCTGATCTAGAGGAGAGGCAGAAATGCCAACAATTCCAATTCTACATAAGCCGTGGTAATGCCCGCTTGGTAACAATGATAATTGTGAACATTTTTTAAGTACTTGCTATGTGCCAGTTATAAAGGGTTTTGTAGGTATCATTATCTCATTTGATCCTCACAAGTTGGGATGGGGTTTCCGTTTTAAAGACAGGGAAACCAAAGGTCTGAAGACTCAGAAAGCTCATGTCTCAGCCCGACGGGTGCCAAACCGGGTTTTCATTTTGGGGTAGAGAAGAGTGCTTGGAGGTGTCAGAGATCACAAGAAGCTGGAATGGATGATTCACAGGGTACCATCAGCCACGGGCCCCTGGCAGGGCGCTTGTGCCTCTGAGCGGAGCTACCAAGAGCCTGCAAAGAGCTGACTCACAAGTTCTAGCCTCGTATCTAGTTGGTTTAATCACTTGACACTTATCAGATGGGCTTACATATGTGAAGCACTGGGTTGAGGTTTGGGGTTCAGTTTGGGTTCGGGTTTAAGTGTGTCACAGATCCAGCTGTTATTTGCTATTAAATCAGTCCTCACTTTTGCTTGGTTTGGATATGCATGAATTTCAGGTACCTTGTTTAAAAAATAACACAAGCCCGGCAGAGCAAGGTTCAAATTTCATCTCCACCTTGTGTCCAGGGCAGAGTTTGCTGGCACTCCCCGGCACACCAATTACTATGCAAATTCAAGAGTTACGTCATGCCATCAGGGACCAATCACATCGCTTCTTCCAGAGGCAGTTGCTGATTGGTCACTGCGCATCGGTTCTTGAGTTTGCACAGCCAAGGGTGTCGCTGGGATGCCCATGTCCTTAGGGGATAAGCCACGTGGTGCTTTCCTCGCGTGGAGAGTGAAAGGAAGAAACTGGTCAGCAAAGATGGAAGTGGAGTGTGGAGAAGAAATGCAAAGGGCTACTGCTGGAATTGAGTGGTCAGTGGGGTTTGTGTTCGAATTCTCCAGAGAAACAGAACCAGTAGGAGATGGCAGATGATGGATGGAAGGCTAGCTAGATAGACAGATGATGGGTAGATTTATTAAAAATGGCCCATAGCATTATGGAGGCTGGCCAATCCAAAATCTACAGGATAGGCGGGCAGGCTGGAGACTCAGGGTGGAATTTCCATTGCAGTTGAAGTCCAAAGGCATGGAGTCAAAAGTAAAGTCAAGGCTTTACTTTTTGTTTCTTTCTTTGTTTTCTTTTTCTTTCCCCTCTTCCTCCTTGTCTTCTTCTTCTTCATTGAAAACCTTGTTAAAACTTTAAATTAATTCTTTCTGTTTCTTAGAGGGGCCAGTTGTTTTTGTTTGGCATTAAAACCTTCAGCCGATTAGATGAGGCCCACCACATCCTGGAGCGCCTCTGGCTTTACTCACAGTCTATTTATTTAATTGTTACTCTTATCCCTGCATAGAAGGTATCCAGAATAATGTTTGACCAAATATCTGGGTACCATGGCCCAGCCAAGTTGACCCATAAAGTTAACCATCACAGAGATGTAGAAGCAAGAGATGAGGGCCATCGTGGCGGAAAGGATGACATCCCAGATGAAGCCACGGGAAGGAACTCTCGAGACATTTCACAGCATCGAAAGTGGAAGAAACTGATCCAGTCTTAGAAAAGAATATGACTATTTGCCAGGGCATAGGAAACCCGGTCCTCTCTGTGTCGTGAACGAGACAGAGCTGATTAGCAATATCGGAGCTATTCTTGATAGTTGTTCTACACAGAAATACAACAATTCTCAATGTTTCTAAAGTTCCAAATTAATTTTTTAAAAAATGTCACCATTACTATTTTTTCATTTCTTAAGAATTTTTAATAGGGCTTTCAATGTGTTGGCAAACTTTTAAAGGTCACAGCATAATCTCATTGTATCTCATTCATAGTCAGGTTTGTTTTGCACAATTTCTGCTTGTGTGGATAGTCTCACAGACTGCATCCGGGGCGGAGGTGTTATTGGTATTATCCACACACCCCCTCCAGGCAGGTCTGGCTAACTCTCCTCAGGATGTTCAAGCTCCTCTTGACAACTTTTCTTTTTTTTTTTTGGTAGAAATCATTTTATTTAATTTATTTTTTATTTTTTTAATTTTTATTGTTGGTTGTTCAAAACATTACATAGTTCTTGACATATCATATTTCACACTTTGATTCAAGTGGGTTATGAACTCCCATTTTTACCCCGTATACAGATTGCAGAATCACATCGGTTACACATCCACTGTTTTACACATTGCTATACTAGTGTCTGTTGTATTCTGCTGCCTTTCCTATCCTCTTCTATCCCCCCCCCCCTCCCCTCCCCTCCCCTCTTCTCTCTCTACCCCATCTACTGTAATTCATTTCTCCCCCTTGTTTTTTTTCCCCTTTCCCCTCACTTCCTCTTGTATGTAATTTTGTATAACCCTGAGGGTCTCCTTCCATTTAATATAAGGGAGAGACAACTTTTCTGACTCTGGGCAAAGGGGTCCCTGTCAAGTCCCAGGCAGAGGTCTCCCCACCCCCACGTTGGCCAACAGCGTCTTCCCTCTGCAGAGGCCAGGATTCTCTACAGCCCTGGGGAAGTTCCCAAGGAGAGGAGCTCAGTTTACAAACCCATAAAAATAACTCAGGGGCGATAAAGAGCCCCATGTCCCCAGGGCAAGGCTGTTATGCAACCTGCCTCAATTTTGCAAGCCCCACCTGGCACCATAAGGAGACAGACTGAGATGCACACCCTGGCTGACCCCATGGGCCAGGGACCCCTCTGGCTGCAATGAGTGTACACAGTGCCTTTGGCTGTGACACAGCGCAGCTCATTCACCACAGAAGAGACACAGAGATGGTTCAGCTGATTGATTGATTGGTTGGTTGATCGACTGATTTAATTACATGATATTTCTTTTTCCGTTTCAGTTTTTGGCAAAGTATGTGAATCATAAATAATTGGCAAAAAAAAAAACCCAAAAAACTTCAGAATATACTTAGGCCAAAAGTAAATAATTGGAACCACCCATAAGTCAACCACCCAAAGAGCACTACTGTTAGCTTCAGAATTTTCTGGAAGCTACTTACCAAATGTGTGTGGTGCAGAGCTTCAGATCACAGACTTTAGTGCTACCCACTTGGATTCATCTCTTAGGTGGCTTAATGTCTCTTGCTTGGTTTTTCTTTCAGCAAAGTGAGTTAGCAATTGTAGCCCTTTATAAGGGTGCTGCAGGATGAGGGTTTTTCTGATCAAAAGGAAGAGGTTTGCACATCCGTTTTTGTGCACATTCTTTTTTTAAAAAAATACTTTTAGTCGTAGATGGATACAATGCTTTTATTTAATTAATGTCTTTTTTATATGGTGCTGAGAATCAAACCCAGTGCCTCACATGTGCTAGGCAAGTTCTCTACCACTGAGCCACAACCCCAGCCCTGTGCACATTCTTAATTATTTCTTGAGCATGAGTTGCTGGGGGTGCTACCATAGTGTCATTAGAGGACACACATTTTGATGACTTTGTTCATTTTTTGTATTAGTATATTTATTGTTGTTATAACAAAATGCCCAGTACTGGGTTCTTTATAAAGAAAAGAGGTTTATTTTGCTTACAGTTTTGGAGGATGAGAGTTCCAGATTGAGCCATCCCATCTTTTTAGCCTGATGAAGGGCCTTGTGGCCCATGATGTCACAGTGATGGGAGTGCATGGAGCTGGAGGCCAGAAGGATTAGGGGGCCAGACTTGCTTTTTTTTTTTTTTTTTTTTTTTTTATAATAACAACTTGTTTTCATGGGAACAGACTGAGGATCTCAAGAGAATTACATCATTCCCTTCAGAGGGCGACGCCCCCAATGATCTAACCTTCTCTCATTAGGTCCCACCTCTTAAAGGTGCCATGACTTCAACACCACCAAACGGATGACAAATTTCTAGCACATAAAACGGTGGGAGACATGCTCAACCATATCCGAACCACATTACTTGCCAGGTGAGAAAACTGATCAGAACAGGGAGGCTGGGCCTCTGTGGAAGAAGGAATTAGTCCCACAAGCAGCCTTCAGACAGGGGAGGCCCAGAGGTGAGGCCTCTTGCTGGAGCACATAACTGTCCTGATGATGTCAGCTCCGTGAGTTCAGAGACCGTGTCTCTCCTGTCCCCAGCTGTGTCCCCCCACCTCCCCATGACTTGAATGAACTTAGCAAAGCCAGAATTTCCTGAGACAGAACAGCTCTGCCAACCACTGCAGCAGAGAGCCAACCTGGATTCTTCCACTGTGCAGGCTTTGTTAAAATCTACCATGAATAAAATATCAACCGGTGCGCTTCAAAGAGAAAAGGAGGGCATGAGAACCCCCCAGAAGGAGAAAGCTGGAACAAAGCAAGCCGAGGAGGAGAGGCGAAAATAAATAAACGCGTCATTTGTATTGTCATTTGATTGACACTTCTTGAATCATTTATGGCGAGCTCCACCTCTTCCTAATAATATGGAAATCGGGGACATGTTGCTTTCAGTCCTGATTAGGAGCGCGTTTCAAAGACGGCTCTCAGGTGAGGGAGACAGATGTTGGCGGTGGTGCAGTCATTAAGGGGCGCCGTGATTTATGGGCTGCAGAGGGTGGCCACCGTGGGCTTCCTGCCGCGTGCTGGTCTCTGACACGTGGTCCGAGAGGGAGGCGCCGTGCGCGCTTCTCAGGGCGATTGTCCTTGTAAGAATGATCAGGCATTCATCAAACTCACCCCAGCGCCCACCGTGGGTCGGCGCTGTGCCGGTGCCAGGGCCCGCAGACTGATGGCCCACTTCCTTGACTGTGACACCTTGTGATGGCCCACTGTGCGCCAGGCCTGGCGCTGGAAGCCACTGGCAAGAGCAAACGTCAGAGTGTGGCCCACAGAACACCAGAAAGGCCCTCCTCAGATTCCCACGGGAGCCCAGAGGCTGCAGGATGGAGAAAGTGACTTTGGACGTCACACCCACCCAGCTGGGCCTCCCCAATCTGCCAGGAGCAAATGGCTCCCCCTTTTGAGCCTCTTTTCCCTCATCTATAAAAGGGAGTGTTGCCAGATACCACAACCCAGGCGCCCAGTTATGCTTACATTTCAGAAAGCAGGAGAGTCATTAGTTAGTATAAGTATACCCCAATCGTTGCATGGGATATACTTATACTAAAAAAAAAAAAATATTTTCCCATTATTTTTCTGATATTCCAATTGAATGGAGGGGCCCGCCGTTGCTTTTTCTTTTCCCTCCTTCTCTCCCTCCCTTGCTTTCTTCCTTCCTCTCTGTTTTCTTGTTGCTTTTTAGTTTTGCTAAAGCTGTCAGCATGCATTTGGAAGTTCACTTACTGTAGGTACATAAACATGTGGTGAGCGTCTCTGACGTGGTCAGAAGGACCAGAAGGGCATGCTAAATAAATGGTGCAGGTCTTGGAGTGGCAGCTACAGAGGAGAGAGGGAGGAATGAGGGGACAATCGCATCACAGAGTCTCACGTGGAGAGATGACACGACACCATGCATCAGGGATGGAGTCTCAGTCTATGGCCCTGCGGTGACAGAGCCACCCAGAGTCTCAGGGTCAGAGTGGCTTTGAATCCCCGCTTGGTGTCTCTCCAGCTGTGTGGCTTTGGGCAAACGACTTCCCATTGCTGGGCCTCCTGGGATGGTATTCTCATTCTTCACCCCAAGCTGGGACATCAGGCTGTCACTCAGGCCCAACCTGGCTGTAGGCGGGAAATGGAGTCTGCAGCTGAGAATCACGGACAGCCTGTAAGGACCTCCTAACCCACCCTCCTGATCTTGCCTGGGAGGCCCAGAGAGCTTCAGTTGTGTGCTCAAGGTGGGTGTCAGTTTCTCAGCAGCTAAGAAGAGAGACCGATGCTGGGGAAGACTGTAAGGAGGGGTGGGGACTGTGGCAGGCTGGAGAGGACGGTTCCATTGTTGAGGCTGCGGAAGGCTGTTTCCCTCAGTCGGTTCTTCCAAATTCTCCAGGGAAGCTGGAAGTCTCTCTCCGTGTGTGTTTTGCATGGGAAATTTCAATGTTTGAAATGTTGGCAACTAATTGGAAATTCTTAAGAACCCTCTAGGAGCCAAGGAAAATATGTCAGGGGCCAGACTTGGCCCTTGGGTCACCCGTGTGCAGTCTCTGGCCTGGAGCTTCACAGCATGTGGGAAGCACTGACAGGGTCCCATGGCCAAGGGGTCAGTGTCTCTTGCCAATAGGGGACAAGAGAAGAAACTCAACCCGGGAGGAGGGGAATGAAGGAGGCGCCAGGGGAGGGGGATGGGAATGTGGGACAAGGTCCAGAGTGTCCCCCGGGGAGCCAGAGGGGGAAGCCCACATTATGTTTCTTTGTTTATTTTCAAGTTAAGGTGAACCTGCATAGGGAACTTCCCCGTTTTCTGCTCCCAGGGCTTTTTTCTCACCCCTGAAGGAAACCCCATGCACATTAGCGCTCACTGCCCTTTTGGCCTCCCCAGCCTCGGGAGCCTCGAATCCGCTTTCAGTCTCTATGGATTCGCTCTTCTGGACACTCCCTATAAGTGGTATCAGACACTATGTGGCCATCGCGTGTGGCCCAAGATATCCAGGGTCAGTCCACATGGAAGAGAGCGTTGGTGCTGATTCTTTTTAACACCTGGGTGAAGCTCCATAGGAGAGAGACCTCATTTTATTTACCCATCCCGGGATGGCTGTTCGGGTTGTTTCTACCTTTTGATTTTGGGAGGGGAGGTAATCTGTCCTTCAAGGATGGGTCTATTTAGAGACAGTAGGAGCCAGGTGCAGTGGTGCAGGCCTATCAGCGGCTGGGGAGGCTGAGGCAGGAGGATCGTGAGTTCAAAGCCAGCCTCAGCAACTTAGCTAGAGACCCTGTCTCAATAAAAAAATTTAAAAAGGGCTGGGGATGTGGCTTAGTGGCTAACCCCTGGGTTCCATCTCTCCCCACCCTCCCCTCAAAAAAGACACAGGAGGGACAGAGCCAAATGCCTATAAAATGTCTTCATTTCTTTTAAAATCAGAAGGAAAGGGGCCTGAGGGTGTAGCTCAGTGGTAAGGTGTATGCTTAGCATGTGTGAAGCCCTGGGTTCAATCCCTGTTCCTTATTATAAAAAAAAAAATCAGAAAAAAACTTCTAGAGTCCAAGGCAATGCTTTAATTTGGCCTGGATTATATTTATCTTTATACCAACACAACAATAAAAGGTGATTGCGGAGGAAGGTGTCCACAAAGGTGGGTTTCCGGGGACCACGAAAGTGGCCCTGCAGGGACCAAGACACTCAGGCCTTGGAGAAACACTAGCGTGTGCCTGTAAGTCCCAATTCCCGCCCTTGTCCTGAAGAGGCCTGCCCGGCTGCCTGCATGGAGCAGTTGCTCAATAAATATTGTTGAAGGAATTTATAAAGCTGAAAGGAGTCACGGAGCTTCTCTGCTTTGGTTTCCTCATCTGAGATGTAGGAATAAAATGATCTGCATCTCCCAGGGTGGTTTCGAGGAGAAGAAAGCAACGTCCAGCACCAGGCGCAGAGTCTCCAGCAAACCCTAGGGGCGCATGCGCAGTGTCCTGGGCCGGCCACACCAGGGCCGAGGACTGCGTGTCTGGAGCAGGTAGAGGCATAAAGGAGACAGCGATGGAAATGTGCATTGTGCACACATGTGAGGATTTTGTGTGTGTGTGTGTGCGGTGTGTTGTGCATGGCCATGTGTGGTTGTGTGTGCACCTGCATGGTGGGCCGGCGGTGGAAGGGGACGAGGGGGAGGAGGAGGAGAGGAGATCCGAGGGGTCACAGATGTGGGACCTCTGCTGGGACCAGGGGCTGCACATTCCTGGGGGCTGCTAGGGACAGGGCGGCGCTGGGGGCTGAAAGGGGGCAGCGCATGTGGGTTTTGTCTTGGTGGGAAGGAATTCCTTGCCCAAGGCAACAGCTATCCCCTGGGGTGCGCCCTCCACGGTGGGTGACCCAGAGCCCCAGAGAGCCCAGCCAGCCTCTCCAAACCCAATTTGCATTAGAAATCAATGTGAGTTTCTTTTTTTTGTTGTTGTTGTTTTTCTCCTTGAAGCCTGAGATGCCAAGACCCTGGAGCCTTTCAGGCCGGGACTCACACTGCTCTGCTGTGATTAGTCTTCTTTTAGAGGCGGGAGAACTGGGGTAACTTGAAGGAATTCTGCTGACAGGTCAAAGGGAGGCTGTGGCCTCCCTGCCAAGGTGACCCCAGGGGTCACAGGAAATCCTGGCCTCTCGCTGGGATGCACTTACCTGGGGGTCACGGCCTGAAAAGATCCTGCTGGTTTCTGAGCAGAAGTAAATTGAATCTCTTGTTGATGTCCCCAGGGCAAAACCTTTGTCTTCTGTGGGAGCAAAAAGCTGGCTAATGGTGGAATGTTCTAGAAGATGTTTCTCTGCTCAGCTCCAGATGCAGGAGAGCCTGCTGGCAGGTCGCCAGGAGGGTTGAATGCTGCGAGAGTGACCCCCCACTTTGAGCCTTGGTCATCTGTGCACGCGGCCACAGTGGTTGACTCCTTGGGTAGCATTGGACTGCAGGCACATAGTAGGATGTTCAATATGGTGGCTTTGTTGGTTTAACCCTCCCTCACGGGTAAACTGGTTTGAGACAATAGAAGTGGTTTTCAAGAGTGGGGGAGGGGTCGTTCAGTTCACAAACATTTGTAACAAACCTACTGTGTGCCAGGTCCTGGGAGGCACATCTAGTGGGAAAAGAAGGACAGCAGTGAATTTGCAGATGGATCCGGAAAGCTAGGCGTCTCCTGAGAGACATTCCCTCTGGGGACTAGTAGAGGGTGACAGGCTCCTTTGTGGTGCTCCCCTGGCAGCCAGGCCTCCTGGGAGGATGAGTCTAACCACAGAGTCTGGTGGGGGGGCCTGCTGTGGCGGTCCCTGGGTCCCTGGAGACGCAGGATGACAGTGTCGGCTTTCTAATCCCAGACACAAAACAACAGGAAGAAAGAAACGTTGCTAAGTGTCCGTTGGACGGGTGTCCCCGAAATAGAGCCGTGCGGTAGAACAGGGAAGTGTCGCACAGGGGTCACCTGCCTCTCTGAAGTCAACTGACCATCTGGCACCCTGCCAGGTGGACCAGGTACCAGCCAGGAAGCCCGAGGGAGGGCCATGTACCGACACGAAGAGGCCGTTTCTTTTTTCCTGCTTTGGTCCTGCATCTGCAGGGTCAGTAGGGTTACTTGGGACAGGTTGCTGAGAAAAAAAAGGGGACAGATGGGTCACTGTAGCCTTGTGTCTTGGGCCAGGTTGTGTCTTTGGTTTCTCTCTGGTCAGGGCAAGTTTACAGAGTGGTCCTGCAGCTTCCCGGGTAGTGGTGCTGGCAGAGAGGAGAGGAGGCGGGTGGGGGACAAGAGGTGGGTGAGCGGCCTCCATGGCCTCCCCGGCCTCCCTGGCCTCCCCGGCCTCCCTGGCCTGAGATCCTGGCATGAGAATCCATCTCACCAAAGCATCTGTTAGTCTCCTAGAGTTTTCTCAAGGACCCCAAATGGGCGGGGAGGGGGGGACAAGAAGAAGCTGTCTCACAGTTGTGGAGCCGGGAGTCTGAAGGCAGGGTCAGCTGGGCCACTGTCTCTAGGGAGGACCCTCAGAGTTTGCTGGCCATGCTCGAAGTTCCCTGGTCTGCAGGGCCGCCTTCCCAGGTGTGTCTGGTCTCTGTCCAAATCTCCCTCCTGTAAAGACACCAGATTGAGTCAGGGCCGACCTTCATCCAGTATGACCTCATCTTAACTAATCCCATCTGCAAAGACCCTCTTCCCAAACAAGTTCCCCGTCACGGGGTGGGAATGGAACTGAACGTGTCCGTTCAGCTCTGGGGAGTACCCAAAGCACGGAACTGCAGGTCCTGGGTTCCAATTCCCACGATGTCACTCACAAATGGTAGACGTGGGGTGCACCTCTGAACTCCTCCAGGCCTCTGCTTCCTCACCAGAAAAAAATGGGAATTATGGCCATAAGGATTCGGACTCTGAGTGCAGAACGCACAGTAGGTCTTACAAAGTGGAAGAGTGGCTGCCTGTATTATTTCAAGGACCTGCTTAGGATCTGTCCAGCCCTGGACTCCAGGATATGTCCATCCCAGACGTATCCCAGAGACACCCCCCCACGCCTCTTGGGAAGGCAGGGATGGGCACGTGCTCCCCAGGAAATAAATCACATCCCTACAAAGAGGGAAGTGCACACATGCTCTGGAGAAGAGACAGGGACAGAGCAGTGTGGTGTCAGCAGAGTGACATTCATGGGGTTCCC